GTGAAACATGTTGTATATGAATGATTAAGCCCCTTTACAACTATTGACATTTATCAAAATTCATAAGAGTTTCTGGAGGCATGTTGTTTAGGAAGCGGATGCCATTCTTCCTTTCAAGATTTTAGGCAAATAATAAAAAAATTAAATAACAAACCTTTTCAGGACATTTGAAGCACATAGCCACAAAAAAATGGATTCTACTCTGGAACATCCGGATTAGTTGAAGAGCACATTCGTATGTCACAGCCAGTGATAGGGCCAGACAAAAAAAGCATCCATAAGAAGTGAAACAAGGATTGTGAAGCTCTGTCTCACATACTTTGGGCGTGTGGTCAAGAGGGACTAGTCTTTGGAGAAGGACATCATGTTTGAAGGGTGGCTGGAGAGCACAGGAAAGGAAGATCCAGGATGAGATGGATTGATTTAGTGACTGGAGAAAAGGGATTAGGCCTGCTAGAGGCTGTAAGATTGGCTAGGATAGTGCAGGGTTTAGACACAGGCAACTCGATGGCACATAACAACAATAACCATCTTTAAAAAGGGAGCTCTGGTGGCTTAGAGGTAAGAAATTGTCCTGCATAAAGGCACACAGTTCAAATCCAGCAGTAGCTTTGTGGGAGAAGGAAAGGCAATCTCCTCCTGTGTGATTAACCACCGTTAGAGGGTCAGCTATGGGTCAGTTTCTGGCTTGATAAAAAACAACAGTAAACATCTGTTTACTATCTTCTATCTTCACTATGTTGTTGTTGTTATGTGCTGTTGAGTTGCCCACAACTCATAGTGACCGTATGTACAAGAGCCTTAAACGCTGCTCTATACTGTGCCAGTCTCACTGTCTGTGACACACCTACCCCCACTACCCCAGACACTGAATTAACCCACCTCATACTTGAAAGCTCCACCTCAGTTGCCCTGTTAGTCTGTGTGTATTCTGTTGTACATAGGGTTTTTAGAGGCCTGCTATTTCGGAAGTGGATGGTCAGTCCTTCTTCCTAGTCTGTCTTAATCTGAATGTTCAGATTTAGAGAAGTATCTGACAGACTATACTGATTTCAATAGTCACAAACTGATTCCATTACTCTTTGATCATAATCTCCATCTCAAGTAACACGTTGCCACACACTTTTTAAATTGATGACCGTGCTTAGAAACACATTTGCCTACATTTGTGGTGTGTTAATGAAATTAGTTTCTTCAATAAATGCTTAAATATCATTTCTCCTTCTCTTCCAGGTCCTCTCTTTCCTCATAAACCAAATCCAATAACAGTTTCGATTCACTACATCTCATCAATATATTTTTCCTCTTTCACTGTGGTAAATATATATGTAACCAAATATTTGATGCCTCAACCGTGTTCATATGGACTGTTCAGTGGCATTAATTATGTCCATCATGTTGCTTTTCAATGATGGTTTTTATCTGCTCCAAACTTTTATCATCACCCTTAAATAGGAGCTCAGTAGCCTCTAACTTCATTATTATTTGATGGTTTATTTATCTCACATCTCTTCATTTTTTTCCTCCATTATAATATTGCTTCTGTCACAGTGGGACCTTAACACTCTAGGGGAAAGGAAGAATGTCTCCCTCTCCAGCACTCTGTACAAGGCCTGGCAGAATAAGCATTCTAAAAATTTTCCCTGTAACATACTTGAAAAATATGAACATTGATCTGGAATCACAGTTCCTCCAAATTATTTAAGATCCCAGACAACACAAAATCTCTTCCCAGAGACAGAAATAAACTTGCAACAAAATGGTAAAAGAACAATGTATTTTCTTCATGCACATGTGTCAAATTTTAAGATCTTGGTGGCTCTTCTAATAATCAGCTTTGCACAAGTTTATATGGAATCATTTTCCCAAAACCTTTTAAGCCAATTATACTAATATTACATATTTACCATTGGATGGTACCTTCCAAAATACTGAAGAGCAATAGCATCACTCTGGAGACTAACGTGAGCCTGATACAGGACATGGTCTTTGCAATCACTTGCTATGCATCAGAGAGCCGGACAATGACTAGAGAGGATAGAAGGAGAATTGATGCCTTAGAGCTGTTTTGCTGGAGAAGAGTATTGAATATACTATGGACTGCTAAGAAAATGAACAGGTTCACCCTGGAGAGGGTTAAACCAGGCTGCTACTTGGAGGCAAGTATTCTGAGGCTTTGTCTGACATACTTTAGACATGATGCAAGGAGGGACCAGTCCTTGGAGAAGGATTTGGGAGGGTGCAGGGACAGCATAGAGGGACACCTCTATGAGGTGAATTGATTCAGTGACTGGGATAATCGAGGTAGGTATGTCAGAGACAGAATGGGACAGGATAGAGCAGGGTTTAGGGCTGTTGTACATAGGGTCGCTATGAGTCACGGGCAACTCGATGACACATAACAACAACCACCACCACAATTGGATGATGTTTCCTACTTTTAACATTTGACTCCAATGACTTCAACAACAAAACTGAGGACTGATGTACTAGAGAGACTCTGACAGATGTCATTGAGAATGAAAATTAGGGGAATTCTAGAAATACCTAACCTAGCTTTCAAAGGCCCTAAGAATCATCTAATGAATTATGCTTTATGAAAGAAAAATGTTCTAACAAGAATGTATTTTGTGTATAAAATGCTGATTTACAGAAACTTCTAATCTAGAAGTTGTTGATCAAATGCAGGAAGCATACAGACTCAGAGAGTCACAACTTCTGAGGGGATCTGACTGCACCCCTTCACCCTGAGAGTACTGTTTGAGTGCTATAAAACACTTCATGTCACCTCATGAAATGTACAAGATACCAAGAATTCTGAGGTCGATTGGAATAGCTCTTTCAAAATCATATTGAGTGCAAACAAAGCGACACAGTTTTTATTTATTATCAGCACCTTCACTGAAGAATGATTAAAGAATATACAAATAGAAAAGGAATTCTTGGCCAGTTGGATGATACAAAAGAAATCTTCCAGCAATGTATGGTCTGGGCTATTTCAGATGCCTGGACAACTGCAAACCTTCCCTGTCTCTTATTAATAATTGGGCCCAAATCAAGTGCCTCCAAGGTGCCAGGACCTACTTGTGAGACTAGAGTCTAGCTCAGAATTTGAACATCTTCCAACAAACACTCTCATAATAGCAGAGATATCTTTTCCAGACACCAAATTACTCCAGTGAGCATAAATGTCATGGACCTGATTAAAGAAACATCAAAATCCAGGGACCATTTGTGTTTAGAAAATAGAACTAAGATGATCCTTTATTAATAAATACAAAAATATATTAAAAACATGGTAACTCTGGTCGAGACATCCAGCCATCTGTTTTACAGCTATTTATTGTTGAAAGAAAATAAGAGGGCACATAACAGCATCACTGCTTTTAGGAAATGATTGTGGAAGAAATGTCAAAAATCAAAAGGTAGATTAAATACGCACTTAAACTTGAATCCACTCAAAACTCCTCGCTGCTGAGTCACAACCATCTCATTGCTGACCCTCTCGCCTGGCTTTTCAAGACTCAAAATTGCATGGGAGAAACCTGCCTATCTTTCCCCTAAGGATATGCTGGTGGATTTGAACTGCCAATGAGGTGTGGCCTTTGAGTTAGCAGACCAACTCTTTATGAATTAAACAAACAACACACACACGCGCACAACACCAAAACAACCAAAACACAACCAGGAAAAGGGACTCCCATTCATTTCCTTCTGATGGTCTGCATTCCCATCATGGTGAAAACCAAAATGGAATATAATAGTTATGTCTGTGGATATTAGCATTAGCTGGCCCTCACAATCAAGGGTGGTGCACATCTGAAATGATGAACAAAACAGCATTTTCTAACAGTTAAGCTTATCAATACAGACGATAACATACAAATGGATAAGAAACAAATATTTAATAAAAGAGCAAAGCAGCAAGCACCAAGATTTAAGTAGTATGGAAACATCATTTGATCAGTTTTAGTCCATAAAAGAGGGGTAGGGTGCCGGTAGGTAGGATGGATAGGTAGGTATGAATAGACCGCAGAACATAGACTTCTAAAAGGACAGAGTGAATTTTCACACATCCTGCCATGAAGTCCTTTCCCAAACTCAAGTGATAAGAGTTCTGATAAAAGTAGTGCAGAACCCAAATCAGAACAACACAATAGTCTGCCTTCAGCACTGTTACCTCCGTTGATAGTCCATGACTTACAGAGATAGGCTTTTACGGATTATCAAATAGGACTAGGAGTTCTAAAGCTGTAATAACAGATACTTTATACAATTTTACTTTATAAGATAGAGTTTGAGCCACTGCAGTACTCTTCAATGTCGATTAATCTCAATATAAGAGAGAAATAAATGTACAACTCAGACATGGCAGTAAAAAAAGAAGGTTCTAGACAGACAAGCACAGACTCCTTATTTCTTTTATGTCTCTCCATCTCCCCTTCCACAGAGCTGAAGATAAGGAAATAACAGAAAATAACACACTGCTATTAAAATTTGTGCAATTTTAGTTTCCTGTTGATAACGTTAAGCTATGGCTGGAATTTCGCCATCAGCAAATTTGATACAGTTAAGTCCTACTGTCAGTTTTTTTCTAGTAATCTTTTTATGTCTAATTCTTTAAGTCTGGATTCAAAAGAATGCCACTGAATGTGGTCACTGCCCAGCTCACGCCACAGGTACTCCGCTAAATAGGAAAACTATTCCATATAACTGTGTAGAATATTAGAAAACAAAAAACAAGAGGGAAACCATATGCATGCCTACACATTATATCCCAAATGATATACGTGGAAAATGAAATGAAAAGGTTTTACATTTTTATGAACCAACATAGGTCATTTTGTTTTAAGAGTAATTTTCTGTTAAAATTATTCTGATTTCAAGGCTTACATTTTTTAAAAGAAAAATCTGAGTGTTATTTTTTTCTTTTAATAAGAATGTGAACATCTTTTGCAAACAGCTTCCAACACAACACTATAATTATTATTTTCATGTACCTGTTTTTCTCCACTCGGCTTTTTGTGGTTCAAAAGCAATTCAACAGCCCCGACAACTTCTTTCCTGATTGCATGTAATAAAGCGTCTCCAATGTAAACGTTAAAGCTTAAGAGAAGTTCAATAAGCTCCAGGTTCTCATTTTCAATGGCAATGAGGAGAGCAGTTCTTCCAAGAGGATCAATGCAATTAATATTGATTTTAAAATAAATCTCAGCCTCTTCTAAGGATTTCTTGACGCTGGCATAATCTCCTTTCTCCACTGCGTTCAAATAGGCTTTTTCTGATGGTGAGAGTTCTGATTCTGCTCGGACTATCCTTAGAGGGATTCGATCTCGGTAGGGCGCATTCACATTTCTTTTGTAATAGAACTGAGCCATGCTTCATGTCATGCTATTCCTTTGTCTCTGCAAATGCAAACAACAAACAAAAATCAGGAGGATTAGAGTCAGTACGCTTTTGAATTGCCAAGCATCCTACTTCCTTTCAACTTCATGGTGACGCTAGTGGCAGCAATACTCATATTGTTCCTAATTACTTTTCTCAACAAATAAAATTAACTATTCAGTTGTCAGGGAACACTAGTTATCAACTCATTGGACTTCATGCATCCTTAGCATCTGCAGAGTTTCTCTGACTGATCTTCTGAAGTAGTTTGCCAGTCCTTTCTGACTACTTTCTTAGTATACAAAGTCCACTGAAACCTGTTCATTTAACATCATATCAACATGCAAGCCTTTACTGAAAGACAGGTAAAAACTATTCATGATTTGCATTGACCAGGAACCTAGGTCTCCTGTACAAAAGGCAAGAATTATATTGAGCTCGACTACTTTCTGGAAATACAAATAGAAAAATCTTAACCTACAATGAATAAACAATGCTTAATGGTTGGCAGTATAATTAAATGTTATCATAAAGAACTGTCTGAAGATGCATCTAGAGAGATATAGGCTTTATTTACAAAATTTATAATTTTATAGTTAGTTGTACACATAAGTATAAAACACATACATATATACTTGTGTGTATGTATATTTATATGCAAGGGTATATGCAGGCAAGCCTATGTGTGTGCATATATTAAGAAAAACAATTTGAAAATCAGAAACAGTTATCTTTAAGGTCCTTTGATATTTATACACTATCAGTCTTGCTTCCATCATGAAGATGTTATTATTAATGGTGTCATAATAACATAATAAAAATGTTATTAAAATTACATTGTTGTTGTTGTTGTTGTT